TGCTAGACTGGGTCTGTGGCAGATGGTGACGGAACCAACAAGAGGGAAAAACATACTTGACCTCATCCTGACCAATCTGCCTGCCGCAGCTGCATCTGTCCATGACAGTATCTGTAACCACAGCACAGTTCTCACGGAGTCAAAGTCCTGTCTTCACAATAAGGTGCCCTCCATTGTGTTGCACTATAATGGTGCTAAATTGGATGGACTTTGAACAGATCTACAACTCAAGAGTGGGCATCCATGAGGCACTGTGGGCTAACAGCAGCAGAACTGTACTCCGACATAACCTGCAACCTTATTGCCCCGCATATCCCCCACTTAACCATTACTATCAAGCCAAAGGATCAATACTGGTTCAATGGAGAATGCAGCAGGGCATGCCATGAGCAGCACCAGGCATACCTAAAAATGAAGTGTCAGTGTTGTAGCTTTGCTAGACTGGACTACTTGGATGCCAAACAGCAAAAGCAACAAGTCAGAGACTTGCAAAACAACCCCATATGAATGGCAGTGAACGGTTTAGCAAACAAGAGGCAGCTCCATGAATATCCCCACTCTTAATGATAGGGGAGCACAGCACATCAGTGCAAAAGACAAGCCTGAAGCATGTGCAACAATATTCAGCCAGAAGAGTAGAGTGGATCATCCATCTTGGCCTCTTTGAGGTCCACCGTATCACAGATGCTTGTCTTCAGCCAATTCAATTTGATAAGAAATGGTTGAAGGCACTAGACACAGGAAAGGCTATGGGGCTCCTTAACATCCCATTTGTGGTACTGAAGACTTGCACTCCAAAGCTGGCTGCACCGTTAGCCAAACTGTTTCAGTACAGTTGCAACATTGGCATCTACCCAGCAATGTGGAAAAATGTCCAAGTAAACCCCATCTACAAATGTGACAAATCTCAGCCATCAAATTATTGCCCCCATCAGCCTACAAAAATAGGTTGTATTTATTAATATCTTTGATGCATTAAATCATCTAAGGCATGTCACAGGAACAGTTACTAAATAAACATTTTGACACTAAACTACAAAAATGTTAGGTTAAGTGCCTTAATGTTTACTCAAAAGGTAGATTTTAAGAAATGTCTCATTCGTGGACAGAGGTGGAGAGGTAGAGGGGTTTAGGAAGGGAATGTCATAAGCTAGTTGCTGATATAGCTGAAGCCATTGCAGTAATGGTGGAGGGGTTTGGAAACCAGGGATGTACAAGAGACAGAAGTCAGAGGAATGCATCAATCTGAAGGTTGTAGGGCTGGAGGAATTTACAGAGACAGCAAGAGGGGAATCCATGGAGTGATTTTAAAAAACAAAGGATGAGAAATTTTTAAAGAGGCATGGCCAAACTGGGAGCCAGTGTAGGTCAGCAAGTGCAGGGGCGATAGGGCAATGGGAGCCATTGAGTTGGGATATGGGAACAGTGGGTTTAAAGGAGGATGCAAGAGGAGAGGCCAGCCATAAATGCAACAGGAAGAAATGGAATCTAAAGGTAACAATGGCAATAATGAAGATTTCAGCAGCAGACAAGTTGAGGCAGAAGTGGAGATGGGTGAGATGATGATGGTCAAATTGGTGGCAAGACTAAAACGGCTTCAGTGTTCCCAATATTTAACTGGAGGAAATATCTGCTCATCAAGTACTGAACATCGAATGATGAGTCTGACAAGTTCGTGACAGTGGAGGAGCTGAGAAAAATGGTGAGGTCAAGCTGAGGGTTGTCAATCGTCCTTTAAAATCATTTCACCAAGTGGCAGCATTTAGGATCAGAAAGAGGAAGGAGACAAGAATAGATCTTTGGTAAACTCCAGAGGCAACAGTGCAAGAGCAAGAAAAGAAGCCACTGCAGGAGGTTTACGGGATACAATTATGCAGATGAGAATGGAACCACAGGAGTGTAGTCCCATCTAGCTGGACAACAGTGAAGGCAGAAAGAGGATGGTGTGGTCAACTGCAAAGGCTGCAGACAGGTAGGGCCAGGATGAGGGATGGTTCAAGGTTTCCATAACAAGATGTGATATGACGTTGATCAAAGCCATCCTGTAGCAGGTCAGATCCTTAATTTGTTTGGTGTGGGGGAAGTGTGTGGCAGCTCAAACATGGAGTTGTATGAAAGATAGACACAGATTTAGCATACAGTAACAAGTTTAGGATTCTGGAGAGGAAGCGCAAGTTTGAGATAGGTTTTTAAGTTATAAGGACAGATTCCATCTTTTGAGTAGATTAAAGACAAAGGTGATTGATCTTTGGCTTCCCAGGGAATTAAGGGATATGGGGAGCAAGAAGGAAAGTAAAGTTGAGGAGGAACAGCCATAACTGTACTGAATGGAGGGGAAGGCTTTAGCAGCTAAATGGTTTACTTCATGCTCCTATTTCTTATGATGGAGTGGATTTTTATTTTGGTGCTGGTGCTGCTGGTTGTGGGTTGGGGGTGATGACAACAACAGATGTGAAGCGGAGGAATACAGTAACTGAGGAGAGAGAAAAGTGTTAACATTATCTGTTACCACTAAGGCCAGAAAGGAAAGTTTGTTTTCCAAAAGTTTCCAGAAGTTCCAAAGTTTGGTGTGGATAGAACAGAATACAACAGTACAGCACGCAAACAAGCCCTTCGGCCCACCATTTCTGTGCTGACCATGATGCCATTCTGCCCACACATTGTCTGTATTCCTCTACTCCCTGCCTGTTTGTGTGTCTGTATAAATGCCTAAATAGGGCATTTAAGGCAGAAAGATGCAAGGTCATGATTTTTACAGATTCAGGACAAGTCTACTCCCAGTAATCAAGAGATAGGTGGTGTCGTCAACAGTTCTATCAAGGGACACTTACTCAGTAACAACCAGCTTTTCGATGCTCAGTTTGGTTTCTGCCAGTGAAACTCAGCTCCTGACCTCAGTCTAAATGTGGTCAAAAGATCTGAACTGCAGAGTTGAGGTGGGAGGGACAGGTGCAGACATATTAAAACAACATTTGACAAGAGCTTGGCATGCAAGATCCTGAGCAAAACTAGAAGTCATTCTTAGAGCAGTCATTCCTAACACAAAGGAAGATGGTTGTGATTGTTGGAGGTCAATCAACTCTGTTCCAGTATCTCTCTACAGGAGTTCCTCAGGGTAGTGTTGTCTGATAAATCACCATACCAGTTATTGCGTACATAATTCCACACCCTAACTTTGAAGGAATGAAAATGGGGCTATATCTGGACAAATGACCAGGGTGGGAGAAAGTAAAGATTGTACTGAGGACAAAATGAACAATGGTGAACATGAGGAACTGGTTAAATAGATCCACTGAAATAATTTGTACATATTCAAAACTCAAAGTTATTCATTCCTCAGCTCTACAAGACATCTAACCTTAAATACGCTTTGTAACTTGTTATTAACCTTGGGCTTGGAGTAATTTTATTCCATTGTTATTAAGCAAAGTTCAGGTGCTGAGTTAGATATATTGAAATACGACTATTGTGGAGTTAAACTGTCTCAGAAAACTGTCTCTATTACAAACTTTGTGCCTTGTTATACGATAGCATGAAACACATCAGAGGCGTTATTGAAGCAGTATTAATTCCTGGAGCTCTGATCTAACTGTCTTTAATGGCTGGAGGTATCTAGCTGCTGGCAGGTTGCACCCCCTAGATAGAGAGTTCGGTTTACTTGTGAACAGAATCTAATCTGACCTAACTGGAGAGATTAATTTCTGTCCTAGATCCTGGATTACATCAGATAAAGGTTATCATTTTTAGTTAATCCCTCTCTCCATTCAGTTCTAAAATTACTATTTGCAAATTGCCTGAATAGTGCCAGTCCATGGGACTGGGGTGGCACTTGGGGGGGGGGGGGGGGGGTGTACAAAGGAAAGTTTGTGCCACTTTTCTTGGAGAAGAGGTACATAATTCTTTGAAATTTGCGTCACAGGTAGACACTGTGGTCAATAATGTATTTAGCACACTTGCTTTTACTGCTCAGACCTCTGAGTATAGGAGACCTCTTCTGGAGTTTTGTGTGCAGTGTTGGTCTCCCTGTTATAGGAAGGATATTAAACTGGAGATGATTCAGAAGCAATTAACCAGGATGTTGCCAGGAATGGAGGGCTTGAGTTATGGGAGAGGCTGGACAGACTGGGGCTTTTTTCACTGGAGCGTAGGAGGTTGACGAGTGACTGATAGAGGTTTATAAAATCATGAGGGTGTAGATATGGCGAATGGCAGATATCTTTTCCCTAGAGTGGGGGGATTGCAAGACTAAGAGGCATTTTTTTTTAAACCGTGACAGCAGAAAGATTTTAAAAAGACATGAGGGGAAAATATTTTTTTAAAAACACAGAGTGGTTTGTCTGTGGCATGAACTTCTAGAGGAAGTGGTGCATGTAGGTACAGTTACAATGTTTAAAAGACATTTGGATTAGTACACAAATAAGAAATATTTGGAGGGATACAGACCAAGTGCAGGAAGGTGGGACTAGTTTAGTTTGGGGTTATGTTTGGCATGGACTGGTTGGACCAAAGGGTCTGTTTCCGTAATACATGACTCTACAACCTAATATCCATTTGATTTAGCAAACCTTTGGATAATTCACAAGAGAACTTGAGTGGAAAATAAAAGTTATAAATCCATTGGACACTTTAGTTAATTGATAGATTCAAGTTGCCACATCATGAATGCAGAGAAGGTTAAGTGAAATAATTCATCTAAATTGTACCAGATCTGTGGCAGCACTGCAGCCAACTCTGTAACTGTATAGATATTGTAGAGATTCAGTATCAATTAATTGCACTCTCCAAAAAAAAACAAAAGCCACTGGAGATGCACAGCAGAACCACACAATCAAATCACTGCCTCAGTAAAAGCTAGCAGACAGTGAAAGTCAGCATGAATCCTCAGTGCAGAGTTGTCAATGACAAATATCTGTACCAAATGATGCATCCAAACGGCCAAGAAAATACTCAGGCTTCCTAACAGCCATTAGAAAAGCACACCATTGTGTTTTTTCACTCACCTTGTAAATCTCATAGTTTAACTCCAGTCCCTCCTTCTCATCATACACGGTATATGAGTGAATGAGAAATCCAAATGGTCTGAAGGAAGCGTCCTTTTCCAGCTGCACAATAAACTCATCAAGGTTGATGCAGTAACCAGCTGGGATAAATTCTAACAGTTTACTTTCAACATTATCAACCTAGATAGGAACAAATTGTTTACAGTAAACTATAAAGCTTAAAGTACATTGGAAGCAGTTTTTTTTTTCCCCCGTTTCCTCCCTCTAATATTCTTTTCTTGCAGCATTATGCAGTCTCTTATTGATTCCATAGATCAAAAGATAGAAGCCATTTTGTAGCTGAGAAGCACATCCCCAGACAGTTATCTATCTCTATAATTCTGCTTGACAGCATTGCCATTTCCCTGTTTATTGAAATCAATATGTAGCATGACAGCAATACCAATTCAATTCTTCAGAAGGTACTTTGATCTTTCAGTTTGTGAAAATGTTTAACTAGAAGACACATCATTTCCCCCTATTCACCAGGGAAGGCCCTACAGGATCTATTAAATGACCGAAAAGCAAACCCCTCAGTGTGTTATAAACTCACTAAATATTTAACAGCATCTTAGGTTCGTTTAATACATCCTCACCAGTTGTGTGACCCTTTGATCTTTTGCTTATAAATTCTGTGTCTGATGCCACCTCTCTCACTAACACCTGAAGGAGGAGCGAGGCACCAAAAGCTTGTGCTTTCAAATAAACCTGTTGCACTATAACCTGGTGTCGTGTGATTTCTCTGACCTTGTCCACCCCAGTCCAACACTGGCACCTCCACATCATGCTATAAACACAATTACAAAACAACACTTAGTTTAGTTCAAGTAATGCTATCAATGACATAGCTCTTCTGAAGTTTTTTAAAAAAAATCTGTGCATCATTATTCAGTCATCCTTTCTTTGGATGAATGACTGCCAGATGTTTGACTCAAGCCCACAACTGCAGAATGGAAGGCTGTCAGTCCTAACACTCCAAGCTTGCAAGATGTTACTTCAGCAACCTCTCGAGGTCAAAGCAGTGAAGTCACACTTTTGCCCCCTTGGAAGATTTTTGCTATGGTACAGTTGCACAGACATCAACAGCTCTACCTCACCTAGTTGATAGCTCATATGCAGGAGCTCAAACAGAGAACCAGTGGGTCACTTAACCAAGGGAGAGGTGAGGACAAAAGAAAGGACTATCTTAATCAAATGGGACATTCACAAGAACACTATCTGGGATTGATTAGGATCAGAAACCCTATGAAATGTACATCTCCCTAATTCAGGGGCACCAAGGTTACCTGTAAAGCAACCACATGCCAGATGCAACCAGTGAATAATGCATTGCAGAACCTCACTGGTCTGAACAGACTGCAGTACCGTGACACAGTGCATAATCACAGCACTGCTTAGGTTAGTTAAAACCTTGCGAAGACAAGCAACATTTTAATAGCCTACCTCTACGTTGTCATATTTTTCTACAACTTTGCTGGAGTATTTGATATTGAAGAATGTAGTGAGGCTGCAGGTACTGTAGTACAATTGGATTTCAAGGTCCTTGTAGCCAAATACTGATTCTCTGCAGGCAAAGCAGAAATAACCACATGTTGATAGAGTATCTGTAGAAGTTAGATTTATTTTCTCTTTACTTCTAACGCAGGGCCATTTATAAACTCAAATGAGCATATTTACTTGAAAATGTTTAGTAACATGGTGGGCATTTCTGAAGCCTCATTTGTATTAGACCTGCCTCAGCGGAAACACCGCTATTGACTTCCAAATAGCCCTTCCAAATAACTTACACATTTGTCACTTGTCTGTAATTGCAAGACACCTCAAAGTGCTTTGCAGCCAATGAAATACTTCTTAAGCACAGTCACAATTGTTATGTAGGAAACATGGCAGCCAATTTGCGCACTGCAAGATCCCATAGACAGCAATGTGGTAACAATGGGATCCACCTGTTCTTAGTGCACTGACATTTCTCGGCAAATGGAAAAGTTGCGCTTGCTGCTTTATAGAAAACGTTTGCGCAAATGTTGCTAAGCCTCCGTGTAAATGAGCTGTACCAGAAAACTGCTTGCACTGTAAGAAGTTCCACTAACGTGGGGCTTATTAATGAGCTCTTCAAACAATGCGACAAAACATCAAGGTTTACTTAGCAACTAGTTGATATCACCACCTTCATATGGTGCAAAATGAAGGAAATGATATTCCTCTGAGCCAGGAAGTCTGGGTTCAAATCCTACCTACTCCAAAGGTAGGTAATAATTTTTCTGAGCAGGGTGATTAGAAAATATCTAAATGAAGTGATATGAAACTTCAAAATTCAAAAGATTGTCAAAGCATTTATACCTATTGGTATATTAAATTCAACACATACAGCAAGTATTCCACTGAAAACACCTAAGCCAATCTCTTTGAATAGGATGCCTTCCTGTAAAAATGAATGTATTTACCTGCAACATCTGATACACCTGTAGCAGCATTACAATGAGTTCTGGTGTTAAATGTGTTGCATAAGCCCTAGCATCACACCCTATCTCTCTGGATGGGTCCAATGGCGATTTCCTGGGTTGTATACTCTATGTAATCTCTCAAAGAGTTTGTATTCTACATGTGTATCGTATATTTGAGTGCAAATCAATGGAAGACATGATTAAAGTACAATGCACTGGTCAGACCAAACCTTGATTGCAAATTGTCGCAAGCAATGTAACGAAGTTCTATGAAGCTGACTGACTGTCAAATAGATTGAACAATCTGGAAAAACTGGAAACCTTGGGCTTTTTCTCTCCCTTTGGAAAAGTTAGGACCTTGGGAGGAATGTTCCATCTTGATTCAGTTGGTAGTACTTTCATCAGGCTATGTACTGAAACCCATAATCTCGGCTGACACCTGAACATATTACTAAAGGAACATCATTCTGTAAACATTTAACTGAAGAGCCTACATTGCTAGATAACCAAGATCAGTGGCACAATATGACTAAGAGTAGCGAGTTATTTCGCTATTCTGGCCAATATTTTGCATTTAACACAAACAGTCAAAGTACTGTGTACTGTCCTCAGCATCCAATTGTAGAAAATATAGAAAGAGATATGGAAAAGGGACGATAACAATTTCCTACAACCACACCAGGAGTAAAAGACAAAAGACTTCTTTAGGGAGAAAGATTCAGAAATTGTATCTTTTCTCAATGGAACAGAGATGATCAAGTGGAATCAAATGGAGATTTTCAAAAGGTTTGGAAACTTGAGAGAGGACTGTAAATGAAATATTGTTTCCACTGGTGAATAGGTGACAGAGGGAGCAAAGACGGAGGATTACCATTGAAAGGAGAATGTCAGAAGCAATTTTTTCACACAGGGTTATTAGAAGAGCACTGCTTTGCAGTCAAAACAAAAGATATGGAGGCAGGGTTTAAAACAGGACTCAAATACTAGGATTTAAAAGGATATAAAAGGACAGAAGAAACTTTCGTTCAATCAACCCAGTTTTGTTCAATACACATCAGGATCGTTCCAGGATCTCTTTGGAAATTTGGGGTGTACATGAAGCTCAAAAACAACATCCACCTTTAAAATCATAGGAGTGTCAGTCTCCAAAAGAGCCAAGAGCATTTTAAACAAAGGTAGCTCAATGCAATTAGACAGCACCAGTCTTAGGCTCTCACAAGGGTACAAAGTTTCACCAAAGACCAGGTAACTTAGATTAGCTGCATAAAATTAGAAAGGGACCCAGAGACAGATTACATTTTAGCAATAAGAGCAATGCTAGGCAAATCTAGGAAAAAAAATGAATGATTTTGGTACACAGAAGGGTGCACAAGAAAGGCTAAAATCTCAAAACAAGTAAATCCATGGGCAGATGGTGCTTCTGTTAGACTGCTAAGACACTAACGAGGAGACCTCTGTGTGGTACTGACATTCATCAACAGCAAATCAATGGACATTGGGAGGTTTCAGTAGATGGAAAAGGGGCTAGTTTGTTGCCTAGATTAAAAAAAAAAGGGGGACAAACATTGACCATTAGTCTCATGTCCACGTCAGGGGATTATGTTATGAAAACAGATGGGGGAGACTTAGGTAAAGCCACCCTGGTAAAGTAGTTACTGAGATGACTACATAAAGGACACAAGGGAATTCAGGAAAGAAGGATAAGTCTGGAATATTACTTCACATTAAATTGAAATTCAGACAAAAAAATGACAGGGTCTCACGAAAGTATGTTGAATTTATTACTAGTAGAAGATTCTTAGTGATCAACACATGGAATATACACATGGGGAGGCAGAAACCCTGAAGCCACTTATCAAACCATTCGATGATAGAGAAGGAAAGGAACATAGGGTCTTTCTGGTAAATAATTTCATCATCTGCAAATACCTTACAATAAGGGGCCCGGGAACAGATGTATCATACTTCTATGAGGGGGATACAACAACAATAGATACTTAACTAGCATCTTTAAAATAATAACATCCCAAGGCAGTTCACAGAGACATAATAAAATGAAATGGCAGCAAGAATGAGAATTTTAAAAATCAAGACATTGATTGACAGGAAGCCAACATGGGTCAGCGAGCAGACGGGCGATTGGGAATGGGACTTGGTGCAAGTTAGGAAAGGGCATTAGTGTCTTGTGTGCCTTCAAGTTTACGGAGGGTAGAATGTAGATGACCAGCTAAGAGTGTGTTGGAATAGTCAAATCTAGAAGTAACAAAGGCATGAATGAGGCTTTTAGCAGATGAGCTGAGACAGGGTCAAAAATCAGATAATGTCACCGAGGAGGAAATAGGCAGACTTAATGATGTGAAGCTCAACTCAGAAGGATCAAGTATCAGAAAATGGTTACAGCACAGAAGGCAGTTATTCAGCCCATCATGTCTCTGTTCATTCTCTAGAACAGCAACTCAGCATTGCTGACATTCATCAAGAGCAAATCAATGGACAATCAATGTCAGCAACTAGTACCACTCCCTTGACATTTTCCCCATAACCCTGCAAGTTTCTTCTCTTCAGACAATTCTCTAATTATCTTTGAAAGACCTTGATTGAATTTGCTTCCACCACACACTCAGGCAGCACAGTCTAGATCTAGATGTGTGAAAATATGTTTCCTCATGTCACCATTGTTTCTTTTGCTAATTACCTTAAATCTGGCCCTCTGTTTTAGAATAATCAAATCACTAGTGTGGAAACAGGCCCTTTGGCCCAACAAGTCCACACCAACCCTCGGAGCATCCCACCCAGACCCATCCCCCTATAACCCACCTAATCTACACATCTCTGAACACTACGAGCAATTTAGCATGGCCAATCCACCTAGCCGGCGCATCTTTGGACTGTGGGAAAAAACCAGAGCACCCGGAGGAAACCCATGCAGACACGGGGAGAATGTGCAAACTCCACACAGACAGTCGCCTGAGGGTGGAATCGAATCCAGGTCCCTGGTGCTGTGAGGCAGCAGTGCCAACCACTGAGCCACCGTGCCGACCATGGGACCACCAATGGGAACATTTTCTCCCTACCTGCTCTGTCCAGATGTCTCATGACTTTGAGCACCTTCATCAAATTTCCTCTCAGCCTTCTCTTCTGCAAGGAGAACAGTCCCAGCCTCTCCAATCTACCTATATAATGAAATTCCTGAATTCAAGCTATTCTCATAAATCTACTTTTCATTTGTTCTAAGTCTTCACATTCTTCGTAAAGTGCAGTGCCCAAAATTGGGCAATACTCCAGTTGAGGCAGTAAAATAAACAATTAATAAATACTTGGCAATGCAAACCTCTTGGAATGGCAATCTATAACTGCATTCCAAATGAGCAACAACGCTCACTTGATAAAACAAGGCGAGTGAAACCGTCACAAATAACTGAAGTACGTTTCACGAACAGATGTAGTTTTAGTCAGACGCGAATACAATTGCAGAGAATTCTTGGTATTTCAACCTCTGAATAGATTTCCTATGACATCCAGCATGTTCTCCGTATCCTCTTGTACTACCTGTCCGGACATGTTGAATTCCAGCAATCAGACCACCTTTCTGGTTTATGAAAAAGAACTAACAAAGTACATTGTTCTCAACTGTGAGCCTTGTAGGTGAACAGATCCAATGCTAAACTGCACTAATCAAAATCATGGTTAAAGTCACAAGCGCGGCAGACACAAAAACGCTAAAGAAAGACCTGTGTTTATATTGTGTCTTTTATGTCCTCAGGACTTCCCAATGCACTTTACTGCCAATTAAGTACTTCTGAAGTCAACATTGTAGCGAGTTCATTCTCACAAGGTCCCACTAAAAGTAATGAGATAAATGAACTTGTGTCAAACCTTGGACTGAGGGATAAATATTTACTAGAATACTAAGGAGAACACCAATACTTTTCCTTGAAGCAGTGCCATGGAATATTTTATATAAACCATTGTAGATGGGGTCTGGCATAATATCTCATACATGCAATGTAGCGCTCCCCCAGTACTGCACTGGGAATATCAGCTTGGATTATGTGCTTAAGTCTTTACATTTAACTGTGTACCTTTTAACTCAAGAGGAATGAGTGCTACTGACTGAGCCACAACTGATGCTATGCTAAATCAGGCAGACCAGAACCACAACAGAGCACATGGCAACCAGAAACAGCCAATTCAAGAATACAGCATGAAAACAAAAACCAAGAACAATTACTAAAAGTTTGCAACATATGGTATAGGTGATGAGAGCCCTGTCAACAGATTCCAATGTAACAAATCACATACTCATCTCCAAACACTTGGTGACTGTATAATGGACTGAAGCTCATGGTCTCATCCTCCAGGTCTTCAACGAAGCGAACTAGTAATATGGAAAAAACACATCATGCTGACTCTGATTTAGAGAGAGAAACATTAGAACCAATTTTGTTAGCACTTGATAGTTACATTAATAGGTCAATAAGCAGAGAAATCATACTCCCCTAGGAATTGTTTCAGAGAAGTAATGGTGTACCCCAAAAGAGGAGGATTATACGCTGGTTCATCAGTGAACATAATAAACTATTTTCCAGCATCATTGCAACATCTCCACATTTCAGTTACCAATTTGCCACAGCATAACCTCCCTTCTCGCCCATCCCACCACCCCCTCATTTCTCCCTTGCTGTCTCATGTACAAAGGGGAGCAGTGTGCAAGACACAAGAAGATTCTGTGCTTGAAGCACATACCTAATTTTAGCCGAATAGCCTTGTTGGTATCACACTTGTATTCTGCTAACTTCTTTTCCAGGTTCAAAAGCTCTACAGAAAATAAATCAGACATAAATAGTTAGCAGAAAAAACACCTGATCTAGATAACCACTGTTATTTCAAGTGTAAACAGTCCTCATCAAGGCTACATCTGATATATACAAGCAACCATCTCCTGTCAAATATCTTAGAAGCACAGAAGTGTTAAACTTAGTGACATTACCACAGGCCACCAACAGTGGGCTTGGCCCTGGCATTCACGAGATGCCATTATCTACAACTGCACTGAAGTCAGCTTCCAGGGACTAGGTGGTGGTTAGGGAGTCCAGGAGCACTAAGACAGGCCCAAGGTTACAGGGAGACAGGAACCTGGAACTTAGTGGCATTAGAAGAGAACTTTCAAGGTTTTGAAGCATTGTTGGTAGTTTGAAGTGGCGGGGATGAACTGCAGGATTAAGGAGCACTCAATGTGGATGTGGGGCTCGTGTAACAAATGGAGAGTGCAGGATATCAGAACAGGCAGTAAAACCTGGGAGATTTTGAGTGTCCAACAGAACTCAGGAACTTGTTTGGGACACTGAGGGGCTGCTGGAATCTGGGCATATGGGGTTGGTGAGAAGTAAGGTCTTAAACAACGTCGATGGAGAGGAAAGCCCAGGAGAACAGCATTAACTGCCATGTGTTGAAGCAACAGGTCAAATCCTCCATTTTCCCCCTCTTCAGTGGTTTCCCATTCTCAGGTTTCTGATTTCGAGCAAGCAAAACTTGATTATTAGAATTCACTGATTAATAATCTGAGACAAAAAAGTGTGTTTTATTTGTTTTAAATTCATACAATACATTGGCATTGTAAACAGGATTGCTGAATTGATATGCATTTAACAAAATTCTACAAGAATTAGCACATAAAATGCTCCACGTTCATCATAATGCACTTTCCAGGTTCTTATGCAGTTCCCAACACATGCACTGTCCCTGCTTATGCTGCCTTAAAACTTTGAATTAAATTGGCAAGGCTGTGGCAAGTGGGGTGTAAAAAGATGTACAAAGAACTGGGAGAGACAAGATCATACTGGAATAAGGAACAGAATCATACAGTATAGAAACAGGACCTCTTTTCGTGACATTTTGCCCTCCGGTAGTGGAGATTCCCACTACAAAGCAGTCCTTCCCCTGTCTGTCAGGAATCGGGGATGGAGAGTGCTGCCCGTGGCAGTCCCTTGCAATCGTAGAGCAAATTCACCAGGTGCCAGGGCATGTGTAGTTTTTGTGGTTTTTCATACATACATAAAATGTTTCCATTTGCAGCCCCTTTTTAGTTTTTGTGGAAGGGACTTCTCCTTAAATTTTGGTTGCATTTCAGTCCCACACACCTGATCTATGGACACTTGCAAAGTGCAGACAAGTCTACGGGCCTTCTTGTGGCTCTGTTTTTGGGCCTGGACAAGATGGCCATCAACAGATCCAGGCAGCGAGCCATGGAGGGACTCACCAATCCTGACTGTTTGTCCCTCTTTCGTGGTTACGCCTGTGCTCAGGTGTCCCTGGAGAGCGAGCACGCGGTGCTTATCAGCATGGTCAAGGCCTTTAGAGACCGATGGGCAGGGTCCATCATCACCCCAGAGAATGCTATTTTAATTTAGTAAGTTTCTGTTTCTTTATACAAGGTTCTGTACAACTGCTTTATGTCAATAGTACCCCAGCTGAGACTGTCCATCCCATGTAACATCCTGGCAAATCTCCTCTGCTCCCTGTCGAGAGCAATCACGTTCTTCTGATAGCGTAGCGACCAGAATGGCACACAGTATTCCACCCAAGGCTCAACCAATGTTTTGCAAAATTGCAACAAGATTTCCTTGCTCCTATTTGCTACGTCCAGGCAAATGTAGGCAAGCATTCTGTACACCTGCTTCACCACCCTGTCTACTTGTGCTGACACCTTCAGGGACCTATGCACTTGTACACCAAGGTCCTCTAGGTCCCTACTCAGGGAAAATCATTCATCATGTAAATCCTTCCCTCATTAGACCTCTCAAAATGCATCCCCTCACACTTATCAGGATTAAATTCCACTGATCATTGCTCTGTCCAATTCACCAGCTGATCAATAGCATACTGTACCGTGAGACAAACCTCATCAACACCAAGTTTTGTGTCATCTACAAACTTACTAATTATAGCTTCTACATTCACATCCAAGTAATTAATGTACAGCACATAACAAACAGCAAGGGTGGCAACACCTATCCCTGTGGTACATCACTAGTCACGGACTTTCAATCATAGAAACAATCCTCCACCATCCACTTTCCTGCTTATTTGTAAGCCAATTTTGGATGCAGTTTACCAACTTGCCTTGGATCCCATGGACTCCTACCAGCTTTCCATGTGGGACCTTGTCAAAGGCCTTACTGAAAAGTCATTGGCCAACAGGATTAAGGAAAATCCCAAGGGTAACCAGGCAGAGGGTTGGCCCACTCAAGGACAGGGAAGGGAATCTGTATGTGAAGCCAGAGGAAATGGGCGAGGCATTAAATGAGTACTTTGTGTCAGTATTCACCATAGAGAAGGACTTGGTGTTGAGTCTGGGGAAGGGTGTGTAGATAGTTTGGGTCAATTTGAGATCAAAAGGAAGGAGGTATTGGGGGTCTTGAAAAAAGTTAAGGTAGACAAGTCCCCAGGGTCTGATGGGGTATACCCCAGAATACTGAGAGAGGCAAGGGAGGAATTTACTGGGGTCTTGAGGGAAATCTTTATATCCTCACTGACTACAGGGGAGGTCCCAGAGGATTGGAGAATAGCCAATGTTGTTCCTTTGTTTAAGAAGGGTGGCAAGGATAATCCATCTAATTACAGGTTTTATGTCAGTGGTAGGGAAATTATTGGACAGGATCCTTCAAGACGGGATTTATTCCCACTTGAAAATCAATTAGCGAGATGCAACATGGTTTTGTGAAGGGGAGGTGATGTCTCACTAACTTGGTTGAGTTTTTTGAAGAAGTAACGAAGATGATCGATGAGGGTAGGGCAGTGGATGTTGTCTACATGGACTTCAGTAAGGCCCTTGACAAGGTCCCTCATGGCAAGCTGATACAGAAAGTAAAGTCACATGGGGTCAGAGATGAACTTGCAAGATGGATAAAAAACTGGCTCGGTCATAGAAGACAGAGCGTAGCAGTGGAAGGGTGTGTTTCTGAATGGAGGGCTATGACTAGTGGCACTTCTCAGGGATCAGTGTTGGGACCTTTGCTATTTGTAACATATATAAATGATTTGGAGGAAAATGTAACTGGTTTGATTAGTAAGTATGCCGATGACACAAATGTTGGTGGAATTGCAGATAGCGATGAGGACGGTCAAATGATACAGCTGGATATAGATTAGTTGGTGACTTGGGCAGAGAGATGGCAGATTGAGTTTAATCCAGAAAAATGTGAGGTAATGCATTTTGGAAGGTCTAATCCAGATGGAAAATATACAGTAAATTGCAGAACCCTTAAGAGTACTGATAGGCAGAGGGATCTGGGTGTATAGGTACACAGGTCACTGAAAGTGGCAACACAGGTGGAGAAGGTGGTCAACAAGGCATATGGCATGCTTGCCTTCATCAGACGGGGCACTAAGTTTAAAAATTTGCAGGTAATGTTGCAGCTTTATATAACCTTAGTTAAGCTGCATTTGGAACATGGCGTTCAATTCTGGTTGCCACACTACCAAAAGGATGTGATGGCTTTGGAGAGGGTACAGAAAAGATTTACCAGGATGTTGCCCAGTATGGAGGGCATTAGCTAGGAGGAGAGGTTGCAGAAACTTGGGTTGTTCTAACTGGAATGACAGAGGTTGAGATTATGAAGGGCATTGACAGAGTGGACAGTCAGAAGCTTTTTCCCAGGGGGGGAAGAGTTGGTTACCAGGGGCCATAGGTTTAAGGTGTGAAGGGCAAGGTTTAAAGGCGATGTACGAGGCAAGTTTTTTTTTTTTTTTTTTTTTTGTTTTTTTTTTTTTTTTTTTTTTTTTTACACAGAGGGTGGTGGGTGCCTGGAACTCGCTGTCAGGGGAGGTAGTGGAAGCAGATACTATAGTGACTTTTAAAGGGCATCTTGACAAATACATGAATAGGATGGAAATAGAGGGATATGGTCCCCGGAAGGGTAGGGGGTATTAGTTGTGACAGGTAGCATATCGGTGCAGGCTTGGAGAGCCGAAGGGCCTGTTCCTGTCCTGTAATTTTCTTTGTTCTTGAAGTCCATGTAAACCACAGCAACTGCACTACCCTCATCAATACATTTAGTCACTTTTTCAAAAATGCAATTAAATTAATCAGACAGGATCACCCTCCAATCAATCCATGCTGACTATTCCAGGCCAATCCCCATCATTCCAAGTATTGATTAATCCTGTCTCTCAGAATTTTTTCCATAATTTCCCTACAACTGATATCAAACTAACTGGTCTTTAATTGCCTGGCCTAACTCTGCTGCCTTTCTTGAACAAAAGGACCACATTAGCTATTCTCCAGTTATCTGGTACTTCACTTGTGGCCAAAGAAGTATTAAATATCTCTGCTCGGGCCCCAGCAATCTCCTCCCTTGGCTCTTCTAGCAACCCAGATGCATCTCATCAGGCCCTGGGAATTTATGCACCTTTATGCCCGCTAAACCATCTAATACTTCCTTCTTATTAATCCTAACATGCTCTAGAGAAACAGTAAGATATTAGGCAGGGGCAGAGCAAGTGGAAACTTAAGTCTAAATTAAGGTGACTGTGCATGCATGCATAAAGTGTGAATGGGAAATGTGTTTGGTCGAAAGAAGAAGGAATGGAATAAAATCTAAATCAAGAGTTACTTCATATGAACATGAATGCATGGAGTGTAAACAAGACTGGTGAGCCATGGATGCTGACAGTTATGTGGAAATATGAATTTGTGAAGATAACGAAAACCCGACTAAAACAGTACAGGACAATACATAAATAGTTTATGCATACAAAGCGGTCATTAATGACAGAAAAGGAGCTCGGAGGGATGGGAGTGCAGAATATTAGATGCTGGAAAGGGATGATTACCCAGAT